CTCTTTCTAAGATACCAGCTGGTTGTGAACCTGAACAGGGTGACTTGTCTTCCCCTAGTGGTGGACTTGGTCAGTTTATGTACCTTCAATGCCCCACTTCATCACTGGTGAAACACGGAGTGTCAGCCACAGAGCTATAAAAAAAAAAAAAAAAAAAGAAAGAAGGAAACTTGCTTCTGTGAAGCTCGCCATTTAGCAGAAGGATATACGGAGGCATATCGCTATGAAATCTCTCCTAGGCAGCAAGCTAGACAAATGTGCAGGTGCCCAGGGTCACAAAGACAACACAGGTGGATGAGTAGGGGTCTTTTAGGAAGATTTCAGAGTGGATGATGCACCCCTTTATTCTGTAAAAGTCATTATCATCTCTTTTTATGACTAAAATTCCAGAGTGGCAAAGCATTACAATATTTGGGACTATGCAACTATGCTATTTGTTGTTTATTTATTTATTTATTTATTTTAACGTTTATTTATTATTTTTGGGACAGAGAGAGACAGAGCATGAACGGGGGAGGGGCAGAGAGAGAGGGAGACACAGAATCGGAAACAGGCTCCAGGCTCCGAGCCATCAGCCCGGAGCCCGACGCGGGGCTCGAACTCACGGACCGCGAGATGGTGACCTGGGTGAAGTCGGACGCTTAACCGACTGCGCCACCCAGGCGCCCCTGTTGTATATTTAAGGACTAACTCCAATCTTTTGGAAAAAGGGACCATCTTTCTACTTGAGAGATAGGAAAACGTTTTCATTCATTCATTCATTCATTCATTCATTTGCTTTCCTCTCAGCTTCTTCTTCTCTGATGGAGCTAGGAAATCTTGAGGATCGGGTTCAGGGCAGCGAGATTCACCGTGAGAAGGGCAGTTTACGTTAAACCAGCGACTGAGAGGAACAATCTCCCCACGTCCTCTCTCTTCCTCAAATTTTTCTAGGCCTGTCAATTTTTGCTTTCTCCCTCATCAATGACTACTTCATCTGCAAGATGTCCTCTGCTAGAATGTGAGTCCCAAGTGGGGACCGGCCTCCTAAAGGGTGGGAAACTGGTATATCCTTCGCACGAAAAGCATCAAATTGTCTCTTCTTGCCTTTTTCTTCCCTCAGGTGAGGGAAAAGCTATTCCTCTTTTTCTTCCATCAATATAAATAGCCTATGACATATATTCCACATATATTTATGTGGCCTGCAAGACCTAGAATTCTGTGGTCACCTAAACCCAAGGAAAAAATGCGGTGAGAAAATATTGGATGTTACTGGTATTTGTTAGGTTAACAGGGCAGTTCTTGGGCATCGGAGATGAATTTATTAGTGTTTTGAAAAAGTACTGTCCATTTTGAAAAGAAAATTTGAGAAAGCTTATAAAAAACAGATTATCGAAGGGTCCCCGGTCCGAGTATCAGTTGTGTTCAACTTCAGATTAAATGTGTCCAAGTGGCAGGAGAGATCAGTTTACGTACAGGATTGGGGAGTGTCGTCAGAAATTTCTGAATTTACTCGGAGAAGAAATATTTGTAAAAGGCAGGCAGTTCAGTTCAGGAAAGAAGCACACGCAACACCATCGCACAGATTTATCCAAGGCTGTGCTCCATCCACGTGTCTGAAGTGGAGGTTGTGAAAAGGAAAAGAACAAGCGAGTGAGCGACTTGTCCAGGGGCTGGGGGACGCAGGATGGCCGCAGTGGCTCCTTCAGGATCCTCGGCACTGGGCCTCAGCACTCTGGGCACAGGCATCGGCCCCCTTTGCTCTGAGCACTGTGTGAAGGCATCAGTTGTGGCATCTTTGGTACATGAGAGTTTATTTATTTTTTAAATGTTTTATTTTTGAGAGAGAGAGAGACAGCACATGAGTGGGGTCAGGGCAGAGAGAGAGAGAGAGACACAGAATCCGAAGCAGGCTCCAGGTTCTGAGCGATCAGCACAGAGCCCGATGTGGGGCTCGAACCCACAAACCGCAAGATCATGACCTGAGCCGAAGTTGGGCGCCTAAATGAGCCACCCAGGCACCCTTGTACATGGAAGTTTACTAAGTCTAAACATGACAACAACAAAATTGAAGACTTCTGGCCCCAGTGTTTATTATATAGAGTTGTTCACAGTAACAGGGTTTAAAGACAAAAACATGAATAAAGGATGCAAGTTTACTGCAAAGAAACACTGAAAACATGGCTATGACCTTCCAACAAACTCAACAAACATACAAACATTGTCAGAGGCACCCACGTGGTTCAAACTGTAGATTTCACACATTAGATAATTATTTTCTGCTGAGGATACAGCATTGAGTAAGAGAAAGTCTGGTCTCATACAGCTTCTGGTCTCATGGGGGCAGACAGATACCACATGAAAAACAAATATGTAACATGTCAGGGGAGTCACGGGAAGGAGAGGGGAGGGAGGAAAGTTTTTGTACACTCAGAATTCTTAAGAGCAATCCGGGGCTGTTTTAAAGGTCACAGGCTGGGAAAAAGATAACAAACTGCCAATTCTTTTTTTTTTTTTTAATTTTTTTTTTTTTTAACGTTTATTTATTTTTGAGACAGAGAAAGACAGAGCATGAACGGGGGAGGGTCAGAGAGAGAGGGAGACACAGAATGTGAAACAGGCTCCAGGCTCTGAGCAGTCAGCACAGAGCCCGATGCGGGGCTTGAACTCACGGACTGCGAGATCGTGACCGGAGCCGAAGTCGGACGCTCAACCGACTGAGCCACCCAGGCGCCCCCAAACTGCAAATTCTATTTAAAAAAATAACTTTACCGGTTGTAAATTTCTGGTCAGATTCTAAAATGCTCTAAGATGCATAGTTCTGAGCAGCATTGCTAATTTTCGAATTAGAATCTACACTAGTAAGTGGTTTATGGCTGTCCTAACAATGGAATATGGCCCACGTCATATGTGAGGGCAAGGGTAAATATAAACATGAAGGTATGTGTTTACGGACCCATGGCACTACTTACGATGGCTATTAATCTATGATAAAGATTTCTGGCTGCGATGATACAAATCTTTTACACAAACTCTTAGGTTACATTCAGCCTCTCAGAGAACAATCCATATTGTGATCACGAGGCATTTTCCCGGCACCCCCGAGGACACGATACTTCCAAGCAAACTATTCTTCGGGAAAAATACTCCTCACTTTGCAAGGAAGCACCTCCTGGCTGTGTTACAAGCAGACCATAATGCGGAATGGAAAGGAACTGTATTTTCAGGTCTAGACAACGAGGGCAAAACCGAGCAGCTTTGTGTTTGCTGCTGCTGCTGCTGAGACGTGTGCTCACCCAACACCATAGAGGTGAAGACGCATGCTGCCACATCGTGGCGCCCAGCTTTGTTGCCGGGGTCAATCTAGGGCCTGGGTGCTGGCCGGGACCGTCGCCATCAGCTCGGCATGAAAGCCACAGGGTGGGGGACAGGGTGTCCGAACACGTTCCTATCACCTCTACAAGCAGAGGGCCAACCCAGAAGGTCTGCCTGCAAGGAAATGTCTCCGGTCAGAATGATCAAAAGGCGAATGTGTGCGGGTCACCTCAGGGATCCCCCCAGCGCAGGCCTGTGTCTCAGAGGGGCTCCAGGGCCTTCCTGACCCCCGCGGCGCTCTGCCCGCAGCCTGGACGGCAGGTCCCGGAGAGCGCAGGAAGCCCGGAGAGCGCATGACGTGCAGGTGTACGGCCTTCCCACGGCAGCCGCCTTCAACCTTTTCTTCCCCACGGAGGAACCTGTCACCTCCGTGGGGACCACCGCGTACACAATACTGGCCTTAGGTTACGGATGTCCCAGCGCACCATGTCACTCCCATCTCTTCTCCCTTCAGAGGCCACCAAAATTCCCAGACTTCCTTCCTAAGGGAAGGATCTCCGTGAATAGTTTAAATATAAACTCTAGGTGGCCTTTGGAAAACACGTAATTCTTAAAATTAGGTTTTCCTTCCAGTTACATTTTCTTCCTCACCTCGGCAATACATTTTCCTTTTCTTGAGCACACGTAAACGAAACAGAAGGGATGCCTGAACACAGCTACACAGAGAAGCTGGCCGGGTTTGAAACACGACACAGGTAAGTTACAGGTCAATTACATCTCAATAAAACTGAGAAAGGAAAAAAAAAATGGCACATGAGCCTAGCAACAAGCGACCACACGGCACGTTAATAATTAAAAGTTGATTAGACACATTACTCTTGTTTTTCATTAAAGTCACCTGCTTTCCTCCTACTGCATTATCTTCTACTTCTTACTCTATCGGTAGCAAATTCTGGTCTCAAGCCTTCCTGCATACACCTGGCTCACCTCTACATACTTCCTTCTGCTAAAAAAAATCCTAACTTCTCTAATTAGACAGTTTGCCCTTTCTCTGTAACTTCGGTGGCTGCGAATTCAGAAGCTACTGTTCTACTAAGTTGTGAATTAAGTTCTGAATCGGGAAGTGTTAATGTCTAGCAAAAGATTACCTGTTTTGAAGCCTCAACCACAGAAGGAAGAGTAACTGTGATGTAGAGCCAGTGTTTCGGGGATACCCGGAGAGAAGTCCCCTGAAAATGTTACGGATCCCATTCCTGGCATCTGCAGATGTTTTCTGGACTAAGCTGTTTTCCAGAAAACCAGTGGTAACGGAACCCGGCTTCTCTAAGGAAATTTCCCAAGGGCCTACAAGAGTGTCTAACTGCTCACCGAAAAATCCTGAACTATCACACTGGGAATGGAGGATGGCGAACGAATGGGTGACGCGCGGCCACAGGCAGCACGGTGACCGTGTTACCCGACAGGAACACAATTAACTACCCTCAGTCACGGCTCCACATGTGGGAAAGAATACAGAGAACGTGTGTCCCGATCTGTGTTCTTCCGTTTGCAAACACCGCCGTCACCTGCTTGCCTGTATTTTAGGACCTACGACCCGGAGATGTTTTCCTTCCCCAGCAAGCCGGAGCGGAGGGACCGAGCGGCGCAGCTCGCACTTCCGGCGTGCCTCCCACGCAACTTCCGGAGGGTGTAGGGCTCGCTTCCGGTCACTCGGCTTCCTGCTGCGGGAAGTCTTCGCCACTTTTGCTGTCGTTGCTGTCGTCTTCATTCGAGTAATTTCCCGAATCTTGACTGGTTTGGGAATTGTATTTTTTGTGATCTTCACCGATTTGCTCAGTTTCTTCTACTGCGGTGATAATGTTTGTATTTTCGATTATAAAACACCTTTCAGTTTGCTCTTCAGAAGTGAAAAGGAGGAGGTTCCGGAGTGGCGGCTCAGAGAAATACTGATTTAAAGAAGGGGAGGAATGGAAACAGGTTGTTTAAAAGAGTTAACAGTTTCCTACTAATAACCTAGCTTCCGTCTCCTACATCCAGTACCGAGAAAAGCTGTCTTTTGGCGTGCATATGAAAAAAAAGTCAGCTAAGAGCCTGTCGACCCCAGTCTAAAGTTTAGAACACGGCCACTTGTGAGGTCACGTACAACTGAGCACTGTTAGGGTCAGGGGCCCGGTGAGCGCGGGAGAGGACGGAACGGGGGGGGGGGGGGGGGGGGGGGGTCGTGCTCTGGGATTGTGGCGAGGGTGTCTGGAAATTTTACCCCGTAAGGGCGCTCGCCCAGGTTCTCTTCAGTGATCGGCTGGAGCTCACAGAGTGAACATGTGCAGACGGATTGTGGCTGATCAACAATTCGCCTCCACGTCTCTGGAGCTGCAAAGCCGGAGCCCCGAACGACACTCTCGAGGCAGGCAGCCTGAAGCCCACCTAGGTGAACCCACCATCCCCAGGCCAGGTCCTTGCGCTTGGGCCTTGATCATCGAGTGCTTTCATTAATTAAATCGGCTCCCCTCACAGGTGTGCCAAACAGGAACCTGCGAGGTATCGCGAGAGGAGGCTCATTCTCCTTATTTCCCTGTCTGTGATGTCATCTACAGAATACGCTTTGTGCAACTCACGACAATGTGGTAGGCTTTTGGTGACTACCAAGCCTTTCTTTCTTTTTTTTTTTTTAATATGAAATTTATTGTCAAATTAGTTTCCATACAACACCCGGTGCTCCTCCCAACAGGTGCCCTCCTCAATAGCCATCACCCACCGTCCCCTCCCTCCCACCCCCCATCAACCCTCAGTTCGTTCTCAGTTTTTAAGAGTCTCTTATGTTTTGCCAAGCCTTTCAGTGGTAAAACAAATGCCACAGGGGCCAAACTGCCAGAATCCTGGGAGATGACGGACACATGTTACCAGTCCATGTTATGTGATGTTAAATGGCTGTTTCTAAAGCCAATTTACTGAAAGCTGAAGAAAACAGCCCAGTCTGTATTAGTTTCTGCGTAACAAGAAAAAAGTATGGATTCTGTTGAAACGAAACGTACTTCCCGTTCATTTTAAGAAAAATCCACCTGGCGACACAGAAGAGTAACATACCTCATCTATCGTGGAAGGAGGTTTACTTGATGGGAAGAACACATAACGGACACATCGCAGGAATAGTTTCAGAACGTAAGTGACGACTGGGATGGACAATAAGGCAGCACAAATCCCAGCTATGAGCCACGTTCTGGAAGTACTTCCTAAAACAGAAATAAGTGATGTTTAGCTTCAACGTAAGTTTTGACACGCAAACGCATTAATAGTGCTGACACCGTGTGCGCATAACACGTAGCCACGTGAAAGGAAACATAAAATGTAGGCAACCGTACGCCCCTAGAAATATTTCTGGTAACACTGAGCATACAGCAGCTGTGGGCAACCCACTTCCGTTTAAAGATGGTGGCCTGGCCAGTGAAGTAAGAGAGGCTTAGTGAAGGAGGCCGCCGTTGACATGTGGCTCCCAACGTGCGAAGTATTCTCTAGCATTTCTGCAACACACAGCTGGCCTAATTAAAACCATTCTGCGACGAGTAAGTCCCTACAGGTCAACACTAGGAACTGGAAAATACAACATGGGACTTCACCATTCCCTCGTAACAAAATTCACAATTGAGCTACTTAAGCGACTTCCGCGTGATAATCGTATTAAGAATGATGTAAAAAAAAAAAAAA